TGGAGCAATCAAGAAGGTAATTTTGCAATAGTAATCAGATAACACATCTCTGGATGTCTCCATTTTGATTCAATAATGATGTTCTTCTTCTTCTTCTTCTAATGTAACACAGAGTATAGGAAGATGGTTGAGAAGCTGTACAAGCCTTTAAACGCATGATTCTCAAAAGCCACTGTAACTGATTTAAAATCTCAACTGTATTGGATCATGTCTCTTTTACTTTTATAATCTCAATTTGAGCCAATATTAGCAATCAAAACCCTCTTATTACAGTTCCACAATCACCACCAATATCTTTTCCGTAACTGAGACTTGAGAACTTCATAGATAATGCTGTAGTAACAAGTATCTGAAAGTATAATTAATAAATAAAAAAAGTTTCTGAACTTTATGAAAAATCGAGAAACCGAAGTTCCCCGCAAGATAAGACTGAAAGATCGAAACAGAGTCAAACATCTGAAATGTTGGCACCGGAGGCGGAGAAGTTGATAATGCTAATGATGACGTGTTTTTGTTAAAAATTTGAAACTGACACTTATGCCCTTCTTTTTTAAATCACGAAGCCCATTATCACAAAATGGGCCTAAGGGTATATCTTCTTCCGGGTCCAAATACATAAAACGTCGTCGCTTCGTTCATACCCTGGACGTACATCCCAGAAACCTTGAAAGTTAAAAACCCGCCGGAGTCTCACTCTCTCAAACTTTTGAGAAGCATTTTCGCTTCTATCCAATAAAAAGCGAAAACTCTCTCGCTGTACTTTCCTCGAGGGCTCAGATCTCCGATCTATAGCCTCTCGCTTCTCCTCTCCTGTTCATATAATAACCGGATAATGTCGATCTCCGCCCAAAATCCGGATATTTCCGGCGATAGACAATCCGGCCAAGATGTTCGTACTCAGAACGGTACTCCTTTTCTCTATCGCCCCTTTTTCGCCTATTTCCCATCTCTTCTCATTACTAATCTGTTCTCTTTGTTTTCATCGCAAATATCCTGTTCGATCTCTAGCTAGGGTTTGTTTTGAATCTCTTCTTTTGATGTTTTGTGGTATTTAACTCAGATTTGATGTCTCTATTTGCAGTGATGGCTTGTCAAGCTGTTTCTAATATTGTCAAGACCTCTCTTGGTCCCGTCGGACTAGACAAGGTTTGGTTTCTGATTTGCATCTGTGTTATATAGATTCTTCTAGCCTTTGTTTTCATATTTTTGATGTGTCCGGTTTTAGGGTTTTTTTTAGACCTAACCATTTCCTGTTTTATTTCAAATCTCCTAGACATTGTCCTTTGTATTTTCGTACCTAGTTCCTCCCATCGTGTTTCATGTTATGTCGGCTTGTTTTTCCAGATGTTGGTGGATGATATTGGTGATGTGACCATTACAAATGATGGTGCTACTATTCTTAGGATGTTGGAGGTCGAACACCCTGCTGCTAAGGTAATTTATGCATATGTGAATGTTATACGTATATTCTTATCATCATTTGCATATATATGCGCTTTTAAAAGACTGATTATGAATTATTAGTTACTCCGTTCTCTAATCTGTCTACTTTTGTTGTGACAGGTTCTTGTCGAGTTAGCTGAACTACAGGATAGAGAAGTTGGTGATGGAACTACATCTGTGGTTATTGTAGCTGCTGAGTTGTTGAAGGTTAGTTTGATTACTCTTTTTGGTTTTGTTTGTTTTTTGGAGTTGTGAAGATTTTTCACATGGTAACTACTGCTTGATGATTAATGGTCTTAAGTATATATTTGCAGAGGGCAAATGATTTGGTCAGGAACAAAATACATCCAACATCAATTATCAGTGGATATAGGGTAAGCTGCGACTTTGGTTTCATATGTAGTGACTTTAATTTCACATGCGACATCAATTATCACTGCACAAGTATTTCCAGTCTGTTCATTATCTGTTTTACTGTTGACAGCTAGCAATGAGGGAATCTTGCAAATACATAGAAGAGAAGTTGGTGACGAAGGTTAGTCCTCTTGTGATGGTCTATATTTTTGCCTCTTATGTCATTTATTATCTTTCTCAATGAGTATACAGCATTTGAGGAATCTTTTATTTATGTGGTTGAACTCTATATGGTCCTATCTTCATACATTTTTTGTGTCAGTATAATTGGGTAAGTTCTCTGTACTTTCTGTCTCTTCCCCTTCAGTTAATTACTTAGTTTTTTTTTGCGTTTTATAGGTTGAAAAGCTTGGGAAAGTTCCATTGATAAACTGTGCCAAAACCAGCATGTCCTCCAAACTGATATCTGGTGACAGTGACGTCTTTGCCAATTTGGTATGCTTCCAGCTCTCCTTACACGTGGAAGTGCTTTGTTATTAAAACATGTTTACTCTTGGTTTTGTCTTGGGGGGACTCTTTTTTACTTACATCTGATTTATCTTGCAATACCATTGCATGTGGCTGAACTGTTATAATCACATTTCTTTTAAAGGTTGTGGAAGCCGTTCTTTCAGTAAAGATGACAAATCAGCGGGGAGAGATAAAATACCCTATCAAGGTCTGTTAATGCTTCTCTGTCAAAGTTTCAAATATAAAGATCTGTCTTGCGGATGATATTTTTATGCTTAAACGCGTATTCTTACCACATTATAGGGCATTAATATTCTGAAAGCTCATGGACAAAGTGCAAGAGACAGCTATTTGTTAAATGGATATGCACTCAATACTGGTCGTGCTGCCCAAGGGATGCCATTACGAGTGTCTCCAGCAAAGATTGCTTGCCTTGACTTCAATCTGCAGAAAACAAAAATGCAGCTGGGTGTCCAAGTTGTTGTTAATGACCCACGAGAACTTGAAAAGATCCGTCAAAGGTAGTTTTCTCAGTTATACACTTTTCCTTGAGTCGCATTCAGAGTGCTTGCTTTTTTCCTACCAAATGTCAATTGGTTTGTTCTCTTGATCCTTGCGTGAAGAAGTATTTGCATTCTCCAATTTCCGGGTGTATGGGATAGGAAAGCTTAATACATTGGCTTTACTGTCCACTTGTAGCTGATGTTATCTTCGTTCCATACAGAGTTTTTTAATATGTTGCTGATTATTTGTTTCCACAGAGAAGCTGACATGACAAAAGAGCGGATAGAGAAACTTCTCAAAGCTGGGGCCAATGTAATTCTGACCACAAAGGGGATTGACGACATGGCACTTAAAGTGAGGATGAAAACCAATAATTTTCTCTCTTGTTTACACATAACTTAGTTTTTGAAGTATTCAAGATTACTTGTGTTTATGTTTGATTCACCGTAGTTATTCAAATCCTTGGATTCTCATTTCTATTGCTTTTATTTCAGTACTTTGTAGAGGCAGGAGCTATTGCTGTTAGGCGTGTGCGCAAAGAAGACATGCGCCATGTTGCCAAGGCGACAGGAGCGACTCTGGTACTTCCTCCGTTATGCTTTTTCAATACTAAAAGCATTAGAACCATGTTGACAAACTAAAATTTCAACTAATATGTTTATTCTTTGTTTTAGGTCACCACTTTTGCTGACATGGAGGGCGAAGAAACATTTGATCCAGCTCACCTTGGATCTGCTGATGAGGTTGTGGAAGAGAGAATCGCAGATGATGATGTTATATTGATAAAGGGAACCAAAACAAGCAGTGCGGTATGCCATTTTCTCTCTGCATTAAATCACACTTGATTGTTGACAGTACTATATCACACAAAATTTATCCTAAATATATTTCATTTAAAGTTATTTACCATTATCACAGAGTTTAGTCTAGTTTTGTCATGACTGTAAGTTTTTTTTTCCTGTAAGGTTTCGTTGATCTTAAGAGGTGCAAATGACTACATGCTTGATGAGATGGAGAGAGCACTGCATGATGCTTTATGTATTGTCAAGAGGACCCTTGAGTCCAACACGGTAACATTCTTTTACCTCCTGTTAGAGATACTCCTTGCATTTAGCAAAGAACATTACTTTTCTTGTTTACCTAACGCTCTGATTCTTGTCAAACAGGTAGTTGCGGGTGGAGGTGCAGTTGAATCAGCATTGTCTGTGTATCTGGAGCACCTTGCTACAACCTTGGGCTCTCGCGAACAATTGGCCATCGCTGAATTTGCTGATGCGCTATTGATTATACCAAAGGTGCGACCTACAAACCTATATCATCAATAAATAATCTGTCTTTTGTTCTTATCGTATAATCCAATGTTTATCATCCTATTCTCAGGTGCTTGCAGTAAACGCTGCTAAGGATGCAACCGAGTTGGTAGCTAAACTAAGAGCGTACCACCACACCGCACAAACCAAGGCGGATAAGAAGCACTATTCAAGGTGATAAGCAATCTGTTGTGTCTTTTCCCTTTGAGGTTCTGTTTGAAAATATTATGTGCTCATCGGCTTTATGTTGGGAAAACTTATATGCAGCATGGGACTTGACCTTGTAAATGGAACCATCCGCAACAATTTGGAAGCTGGAGTGATCGAACCAGCTATGAGCAAAGTCAAAATTATCCAGGTAAAAAGCACTTGGCTTTACATGAACTACATTATTAAAAAATCAAGTCATCTCTTAAATTTTAAAGGCGCTTTGTTTTGCGACCAGTTTGCAACAGAGGCAGCCATTACGATTCTACGAATCGACGACATGATCAAACTGGTGAAGGATGAGAGCCAAGGCGAAGAATAAGCACAGCTCAGCTCCTCTTTATCCGCCTTATCCTCCTTAGTGTGTGTTTTTGTCCGCGTTTTCAGCACTCCACCTTTTCTTTTTAGCTTCTTTTTTTGTGCTGTAACAATGTAGCCTCTGAAACAGCAGTTTCTGTTTTTCTTACAACTCTCTCATTTCCTGCTCACTTATTACTTCAAGAAATTTTTGCTTTCTCTCGGATAACGCATGTAATGAAATTGGGCTTTTGTTCTCTTGTTGTTTGAATTTATGTTGTAGTTTTCGAATGTTCTTTCTCATTCAACGATACTTTATCCGGTAAAGATTGGGATTCGATATTATGGCATATACACATACTAATAAATCATTGCTTCCGTAAATAAACTGTTATTTACTTAATCATCAGTAGAAGAAACTAAAATATTTACACAAACAACATGCGTCTAAAACAATTGGCTATGTACATTCGGATTTATTAGTATATATACAACTAATTCATACGGATGGTATGGTTTGAACACTTTGTGAGGAAGCCAACAACAATGCAGAGCCAATGGTGGAACCATCTTCCATGGCCTTAACGACTACATGTTGAGCCACATCTTCTCCCAGTATATCTCTCAGAGCTTCGTCCATATATTCTCTGAACATCCTGTAGTTCAAATATAGACCTCCTTCTACTGCCACCACTGTTCTTCTCATTATTTGCTTATCGCTTCTCCTTCCTCCTCCACTCCCATCTCTCCCTACCTTCTTCAAGATTCCTGCAATTCCTGCTGCTGCTAGCCTAGCTGCTCTGCGTGCCACTACATCGCATATCTTCACTACAAGTTTCCTCACCTTCAATGGTACCTCTGACACCTGTGATTATGAATCAAAGAGAGAGAGCCATGTGATTAAAGGTATCAGACCAATTAGAACAGAACAAAACTTTGAATCACAACAAACTTGTTTGCTTACCCCTAAATCTTTCAAAATTCTTGCTACTTCTTGTAACTCGGATGTGTCATCTTCATGCATTGCTGAGACAGAATTTGTTCTGAGATTGGAGGAAGATTTGATTCAGACAAATATATACTTATAGATAAACAAGAAAAAATCTGTTACGTAAAATACAACTACCAGGTGCTTTTTAACGGAGATGCTTAGCATTGAGAATTAGCAAAAGTTTATATAGGAAACGAAGTAAAAGTTTGGCAGTTTTTTTTCCCCATTTGAAACAGATGCAGAAGAAAACACAACCGAAATGTACCTCAGAACAAAAGGCGTAGATAAAATAGATGAGATGGGTCCAAAGATGTCAGACTCTTGCGACATTCGAAGAATTACTCTGCGGACAATGTCGCCCAGATACATACCTCCTATCATCTTCTCAAAGCCCTATATAACAATACCCACCAAATTGATTACCTGATAAAAAACCTTTAAAACATGATAAAACGAAACAACAGAAAGGGAACGTAGCAAAATATTACCATGTCATTTGAGTTCATACTCTCTGCATCCAACTCAAGGTCATATGAAGTTCTTGGCAGACGAGATGACCAAAAGTTTCCCCACTCCATATTGACCACCTAACACAAAATACCAAAGTATCATAAAGAAAAAAAATCGAGTCTTCTCAATTGAATCCTCAGGAATATTAACTTTGATGCCTAGTTTCTAAGGATAAACTATGTAACGATTCTAAATAGTTATTACCATGCTTCCAGAAGTTGTGCGTGGATTTTGACACTTGATTATGGCATCAGTTCGTTCAAGGTAACATGCATTACTACCTGTTCCAAAGACAACAGCGGCAATTGTGTCTGGGTCATGAAAATGTCCAAAGGATAATGCCCCAACAGTATCATTCACCTGCTCAAACAATGAAACTAATATCAGCACCGTCCATGATATCATGAGGTTTCTAAGAGATAGATAGCCAATATCCCGATGCTTAATCTGTTAAGGCGTAAGAATTTAGTGACAGGTATGAAAACCTTCAAAGGAATTGCAATGAAACAGCAGTTCCCCAAGAATATGATTCTGTTGCAGTAGTAAAGGACTTACAAGAGCTGCAACGCGAATATCTAGCCCTCTTTTGTTCAACGCTCCTTGTAGACATTCAGCAATGTCTTCCCCGGCCTAAATTAGTAAGAGCAATGTGTCATGAACTTGATGCAGCAATGTTGATTACATTTCCCCAAACTTTACTCCAAATGCTAGAAGATGAATCACATCGTTACGTAAAACTATAATACACAAATTGATGATTATGCGTTTTAGTTGATCCAACTATTAGTCCAAAAAAAGAGTGGCTTCATCATGATTTTAAGATAATATAATGCAGCCTTGGATTTAATCTAAAAAGTTAGTAAACACTATCAGGCAGACAGGTAAAAAAGGTTGCAGAGAATTTGAACTAACCATTTCACTAATTGCAAAACCTTTGGTCCATTTAATTAGAACTCCTGATGAAATAGATGTTTGCTTGACTGGGAAAGAAAAAGTAAACGCAAGTTCCCTTTTTACAGGTTGTGACAAATTGAAATCGTTCCCTTCCTTTTCAATAAACCTCTGCAAGGATGATGCGAGAAAGTCGAAGAGAACCTGAAAATCAAGTAACAATAATCAATCATCTGAGCATTTAGTCTGTCGGATTATAAGAACCGAGCTTCGAATAGAATGTTGGAGAAAGCCTTGTCACCTCGCTGGTGCTATTCATCAAAGATGTCGGTATGGAATGTCGTTCAACATCTTGAACTTCAAGAGATGACCTTTGACCACCCAGATGAACCTTTATTATCCTAAAGTAAGAGCCTCCAAGATGAAGGGCGTAATAAGTTCCTCTCTCGCTCCTGAAAAAAAAGGGTTCATATATATTACAACAAGAGACTTACATTGTGACAATCAAGCAACAAAAACCTTCGATTTCACACAACTAACAAGCAAATTTTGCCAGACATTTGCACCATCATATCACCAAATCCCATAAAAACTAAAAGGAAACTCTTCTAAAAACTCTAATCAACAAGCATTGGGATATGTAGAAATCTCACCCATTGGGAAGATCATCAACAAAAGTGAGCAGCATTTTAAGCTTTGACCCTCCTTCAGAAACCAAACCAGCTTGCATCTCCACAGCTATGGCATCAACCATCTGCCTCAACCTTCCCAACGGCGTCTCACACGCCTCCTCCAAATCCTTCAGTATACCCACCACCCTCCTCCATTTCCTCCTCCCTTTCATCCTCCTTCTCACCATCACCGTCGCCATTGAACAAGCCACCACAGCCGCAGCTGCCGTCAACATCACCAAAACCCTCCCCATTCCAAATATCTACACACAACCTTCTCTCTTTCTACGTCTTTCAGAAGAATCGAGATAAGTTACCCACAAAAGCAAGCGCCTTTACGACGAGAAGCAATTTAAAAGAGTCTATAATCAGATTAACACGAAATGCAAATGACAAAGCTTCAACCACCGATCAGAATAACTCTCTACGGCTCCATTTCAACGCATATTCCTTTCTATAACCACAGATACAAATTAAACCGTCTCAGCATAAAGGGTCTCTCTTTTTGTTTTTTTGCTCCTCCGTGACTCCAAATTCTTCCGATTAAATAGCCTTGCGCTCGAAGGTCCGTTGTAGACGACAAATCCCGGCGAAAGTTATGTACTTCCGGCGAAAAGGCGCGGCGAGAGAGAGATTGATGAATTTTGGTAAATGTCAGAAGAAGAACGCTGGAAAGGCCAAACGAATCGATGAATAATACATGAATATTGATGAAATGACATTTATACCCTCGTGTACTTTTAGAGTATGGACGGTTTCGATTCGCTTGTTTTTATTTGTTTTTTGGTTGACTCGTTTATTCATGTATATTGTTTGATTAATTATTATTATTATTATTAGGGAACTCCCATAACTCAAACTACTTAATGACGTTTTTTACTAACAACATATTTGAGAAGCAATGACGTTTATGAATTATATAGTAAGAAGATGTGATTAGACTAATAATATAAATATTCAACCAGCTGATTATAGAAAGAACTGGCGGTTTTGTCGGCGATTTTATTATTTTACGTAGAATTAGACATGTTAATTTTTTCCCTTTTTTTTGTCATCACATGTTATTTTTTTCTGTTTTTATATTCTGAGAAAACACCTTACAAGTCTGAAAAAAAACAATCACACCCTCATTCACTCTATTTTGCTCATATTACATGGAGTCATAATTTACAAAATCAACCATTGCTATATATATGATCCGACACATTTTCAAGTTCATGACTTTTACGAAAACAAAACTTCTCATCATCATTCATCAATACATGAAATAAATAAGATTACAACAAGAGACTTACATACATTGGTGGATGATACAACAACTACTTACTGGGACGGGAGGACTCGCAAAGTTCATCGATAACTTGGGATAGTACTTGTTGTTGGTGCATACTTGTTTTAATAATCACACGCAATTACGATAACTAGATTCTCAAACCATCAAATAAACTAAGAAATTATACTAAGTACTATAATATCTAAACCTCACGCAAAACTCTCCAACCATAAAATGAATCATTGCAAGATTGAACCCAAATATTCAAGCAGATCATGTCAAAACATATATCAAAGTAAAGATAGTTTATGCATAATATATACTAAATATAAAAGTAAAACCTCATACATAAAGTAAAACTAATAATTAAGCACATAATCATGTGCTACTATCATTTTTTCATCTAATCGTCAATGACTCTGTAGTGAACAAGAGCCAACCGACCATATATGTACTAATACAAAACAATAAATAAATAAAAAACTAGTTAAAGAAACAATATAATATATAATATAGCAATCATTGAATAAATCAATGGATTCCGTCATGCCCACGGAATATCCGTTATGGCTTATGGGACTCCTCGGTCCTAGTTTGTTTACGCCGAGTTACTGCTACAAACTAATTGAAAAATATTAATAAATGAATTTGTAAATATTGTATAATAATAAATAAAAAGAAAAAAGTGTTTACCCACGATCGCGATAGGTAGGAATGTCGTATAGGTATAATCTGGCAGTGAGTGGAGATCGACAACCAATAGTAATAAGCCAATATCAAACTAACCACTTCGGCGTTAAGCCACTTAATCATTTAATCTACGATGAAGGACTCATAATTTCTACATGTAAAATCAACAAACAAAATCACCACTAAATATCTATAACAAGTTTTTGACAAATTAATAACCACTATAAATTTACAGTTTTTTTATGATTTCAAGTTGGACGAGTAAAATATTTAACATAATTTGATAAAATAGTAAGATAATAGTTTTTTTAAAAAAACTCTGTAAAGAAATGGTGGGTTATTTACGTATCATTCTAATAATGTGATTAATATACTTAGTTGTTAATTTAAATCGATATATCTCAAGAACGATATTGATGTAAATGCCTTTTTCATCTTACATCGTCACATGGCTGAATTACGGTGACATGGTTCTAATTTTGCACAACTAATCGTATGACAATGCGTCTTAAACAATTGACTCTTTTTTTTCATCGCGTCTTAAACAATTGACTATACATTATCATTATGCATAACTATTCATATGGACAATTGCTTTGTTTTTAAAAATTTAATTTAGTGAATTTTTTCTTTCAATTCCAATTTATTATAAATGTTACATGCAAGTAAGGTGTTAGTCGGATAGTAGATATTTATGCAAGGTGTATACGGTGGATGTGTATTTTTATGTGAAATATATACAATGAATATATTTTACGAAAATATATAAGAACAATACTATTTACAAGTATAATAGTACACGTATTTTGAGGAAATCTGAATTAAACATAACTCAATATTGTATGTAAAGTTCTGTAGAACCTAGAAAAAAATAAGCCAATTCAACTTTTTACTAATCCAAATTATATAAATCAATAATGGTCCATATTAAAAACGAATGAGAAACCAATAAGGTAACAATCAGGAGAAAATTATCGAAACTCTATCAATTTCCTAGATTACAGTCACACTTTAGTGCTTGAAGCTAATGTCTTTGCTTCCTATGCGAAATCATTTTCATATAGAACTGTGGATATTACTATCTTGTTGTGGCTGAAGGTGGAATGAAGTTGGATAGAGGATCGGTGTTGAAGGAGAAAGGAGTGAATGAGAGTTTAGGGATGGTTGTTTTGGTCGTTAGGCCGCCGAGTGATGATGATGATGATGATTGGCAGATAAATGATGAAGATTGGGATTAGAATTCAATTATAGGAATAGTTAGTAACTTTCCATGAACAAATACTTTGTATGCTTTTGGTTTTGGCAATTATGAAATTTTTTGTTTGATTGCTTCTTATCTCATTAATGTTTCTTTCATTGTTGTGTTAGAGTCTAGCTAAATCAAGATTCTCACCATAGTTATGTAATGTGTATGGGAGTTTGTGAAGAGGAAAGAGGGAGTAGTAGTTGGGGAGCTCAGTTTGTGTCAAATTTGTTTGAAGTGCATAATGGGAAATGGTTTGTAAGCATTTACCATGCTTCTCATGTTGATATTTGATCAAAGAACCAGAGAAAACGTGATATAAGATCGGGAGCTGACATACCGGCTGACGTACCAGCTCTATGATCAATGCCATCGACCATCAAAACTTTGAATCTTTGCTTCCGTTTGATTAAATCATTGGGTGGATTCCCGTGTTTGCATCAAACCAGTACACAAAATCAAAGCATTTTCATTAATGTGCGTTTGGAGTGGTGGTGTGATGTAATATTGGCAGTTGCTTAATGCTTATGAGTGATGAAGCATTGTTTTAATTTTTATGGTTGGCGATTCGTACCGAAAACGTTAGGCAAACAAGAAGTGGCATAAGATAACAAAAGTTAGATAATTTTTATTTATTTTATAACCTTTGAAAAAAATGAACTGCCATTGTTTCTACTTTCTATTAATCGCTTGCTAATATGTAAGTTGTTAGATACCATAGAAGAATTTGTCATATGGTCTGATCTAACTTTGTATGTGTAGAGGTTAATCAGTATTTCCGTTCTTAAAGGTTGATATATTCTTCTACTATCATTTTCGAAACACTCTTTTTGAAAACTATATTTTTGTTTTTGTTTTTGCTTTTAGTTATAGAATGCAATTGTTCTTCACGTTTTCAGAAATGAAAAACAACACTTTTATTATTCGAACCAAGACATAGCTAATCTTGGTTATAGTCACATATACTAAACATAAAAAAGGAAACATTGAAACGAATTCAAATCCTCCAAATATAGCACAAAGCTTATCACTGATCTTGATCATGGAAGGACGAACGTTTTTATTATCCTAACCAAGACCTAATGAATCTTGGTCAGTCACACACTAAGCATAAGAAATAAACATTGAAACGAAACCAAACCCTCCAAATATAGCTCAAAGCTCATCCTTCTTGATCGCGGATGGACGAACACCTTGACTAAGAAATTCTCTATAATACTTGCCTGAAACTTTCTCATGACGTGTGAGGTTGTTTTTGAAGTCAATGTAATATAGTCCAAATCTGGTTTTAAAGCCTTCTTGCCACTCGAAGTTATCCAGCAATGACCATACAAAATATCCTGTAACATTCACCTTGTCTTCGCTGAAGATTTTACACATTTTTAATTAATTAATTAGATTTTTAATACAATTGTTACTCCACCATATATATTAGAAAAAATATGACTTACCAAATAGCTTCGTACATACTCAAAAGATGCCTCTTAAGATAAGTTTCTCTGTTGTAATCAGCAGTACCAACTGCAACTGTATCGTTGTCTCCAAGTTTCTCTCCATATCCTAAACAACAACATCAAGATTTGATTTAAAACAAAAGGTAAAATAAAAGACAAAAAATTGTTAAAATTAATCTTTAGTTACCATTTTCCATGATGATAATTTCTGGATTTGCGTATTTATCCTTGACGTACTTCAAAACTTTTCTAAAGCCTCTAGAATAAACCGCCAGCTCAGCGGTCGCAGGCTGAAATACAACAAAGCCGAAATGGTTACATAATATAAAATTTATCGAATAACATTGTTTTTACTCTAGTTCAAATTCATACCTTGCTACCAATACTGACTTCGTTTATATTTTTATCTGTAAAGAAGATATAGTAATAAATTAGTACCAACTAGAAGTACCAAAGACAAAAAAAAAAAAATTGGTTTTGAGGTAAGTACGTATAACGAAAAACTTACCTTTCCATTCAACAAGAGAATCTTGTTTAAATCTTAGTTCTGCATGATTTGGCTTCTCCATATGGTTTGAAAATGTGGAAGTATAGTAGTTGATCCCTACGAAATCAGCTGAGTTTCTCAGTTTTGCTTTCTGCTCAGTGGTAAACTTAGGTAATCTATGTCCAACAATGTCTTTCATTATTTAAGGATAATCCCCAAACATAGTTGTGTCCAGATGCCTAAAAAAAAAATTTCAATTAAATTCAGATTCCAACTTTTTCAAAACATTTCAATATACTTATTAATTACTCACCATCCCATTATAAAGTCAAGTGCACGGTCAACGGTCGCACCATTTTGTGCATCCTTAAAGTCATGTGGTTCAAACCAAGCCGGACTATGTGCGATTCCGATCTTCCCACCTTTACACTATGGCCATAAATATATCACAAAACAAACTATTTTCAGATTCGGAAGACGATAAAATAGCTATGATGATTTATATATTACAAACATACTTTTTCGCATTGTCGAAAAGCTTCAACGGCTTCTGCGTGAGCGTTGAGCAGGTTGTGACTGACTAGATAAGCCTCATAACCTGATCTTCCACCTAGGCATTCTCCCTTGACGGTTCTTTCCTTGGCGTAAGGAGAACAACGTCCTGGAGCTTTCTTACCCACGTCATAACCGGCGTGTGCGAAAACCCATGGCTCGTTAAAAGTGATCCAATGCTTCACTTTTCCACCATACTCTTGGAAAACATACTCAGCATACTCCCGAAAATCTTTCCTATTTTGGCAAAAGGATATTACATTTATTTAAATCACGTTATATTATGGTTATATACTTTATATTGAAAAAAAAAAAAACCTTTTTTACTTACACAATGTTTGCGCTTAAGAAGCCGCCATATTCATTTTCTAGAGATTGTGGAGTGTCCCAATGAAAAACAGTCACAAACGGAATTATACCTAATTATACAATATTAAACAATGAACTTAATTAGTTAGGGGTAAACAATATATATATGTAAAGGTAAATAATATGTATATGTTTGTCGCTAATTAATCTGTATATAACTATTTCTGTTGAGCTCGTCGATTAAACTCCAGTTTCCCTCCAAATCAAAAGTTCGAAACCTTGGTCCCCAAAATTTTGAATTTCGTGGTTTATCTGTATTTGGAATTATATACATAAATTAAACACACTAAACTTTATTCACACTAAATCAATCTAAAGCACATATACACACGAGGAAAAATTCTCGTCCACGAGATAGATAATCTGAAGGCGTCTGTGTTGAGATTCTTCATTAATTGGACATCTTCCTACACACATATTTCAGTAAAGACAAAATTGCAACATCACGTATTAGTAGACTCATTAACGGGATATAAATTTAGATTTAGTAGATATACGTGGTAATTGTATTGTCTTCTCGTTTCGTTTTTTCAAAAATTAAATAAATTCTTTTTCAAAAAAAAGTTAAAAAGTATCATTTCAAGCCTTGAAACCATTTTAAGATATAAATCGATTTCTGGATATATTAATTCACATCGGATCAAGATGAGTTTGTCGATATTTAACAACACTAATTGTTATCTTTATATTAAAAGAAAATTAGAATTTCTATTTACATAATAAGTAATATTTTTCTAATCAAAGTATATTATGTTTCTCTTTTGCATATTGTTTAGTTTTAAAATACTTGATATCTTTTATTAGTTATATATATATATATATATATATATATATATATATATATACAGAAAAAAAAAAAATATATATATATATATATATATATAAATTTCATTATCTGTAAATACATGTATTAAATTTTAATAGATTAATAATGAGATATCTATCATTATGTAAGATAAATAATTCCACCTTAACTTACAAAATAAGCACTTTCATATGTATCCAATTACGATTATAAAATCCAATCAATTTTTAATTATTAACTGTGTTTAAAATAAAGGAAAGAAATTATTGTAGCTTCGTTGTAGAATTTTTGAGTAATTTTATGTGAGAAGTCAAAAAGTTTTGCACGATTTTTTATAAGTTGATTGTTTCTAATGGAACATCAAAAACATGTCATGTTTTCACTTTTCAAGATGATTATGAGAGTCAACGTAGGTTTGAATAATGGTAAACTATTTTTTCACTATTATTTCTCAAGTAAATTATACTAAGAGATTTTATTTAAGTTACTATATACCTTATAACGATAGAAGAACTCAACGGCCTGAGTACCGTTATCGCCATTGCATTTTTCTGTAATTTGCAATGAATGCAAAAATACATTTTGATTAAAAAAATTCATCATGGTCACTAATTTGTTAAAAAAAATTCTAAATTAATTTAAGATTTAAAAGAGTAAATGTAGAGACACTCACCTGGATATTTCTTACAATAGATATCCCACACGGACGGTCCACGACAAGTTTCATTAACTGCACCTTCAACCTAATGACATAACGAAAATAGTTTAAATGTTTAGCAAATATTCATACCAATGACCTCAAATATTAGATATAAAATATTTTGAGCTATAATGTAACATATTGTACCTGATATGCCGCAGTCGCTGTGCCAAATAAGAAACCTTCAGGAAAATGTGCCCGGCTTAGTTTGTTGGACGGTGTCGGTGGGCAAACCGGTCCATCGGCATTTACCGGAGAACCGACGATGATTAGGAGCAAAAGGAGCCCAATGGACATGAGAGGTAACTTTTGCAATGCCATTTTGCTTTAAGTTTTTTTTTTGTTTGTCTTCTTCAGTAGAACAAGTTTAGGATGGCTCTTTATATAGTGATTATGATTCACTGATTGGTCTCATATTATGTTTTTTTAATGTGCTAACCAATTCTAGTTAGACATGTTTTAATTTTTACATTATCAATCTTAATTACCACATGCATGGACGTTAAACTATTATTATTTTTTATTTTTTATTGTTAAATAAACTTTTATTTTATGAATATGATTGATGATTCACGAATGCACTATATCAACATATCGTTGTGCTATTATTTAATGATTTATTCAAAATTTGGAACATAGACGCGTGTATAATGTGCAACATATATTAAAATGTTACTTTGAATAAGTCGTTAGCAAAACGAGTAACAATATTAATAAATATGTGTAATGTAAGCTTGAATGTAAAACCAAAAAAGGAAGAGAAAAATGTAATCTTGAATTGTAACTACAAAAAATGAAGTTTCGGTCTAATGTGATATATATGGTTTTTACTAATTGCTCCTTGTGCTGAAACATCTTATTCAGTACATAAATGGTTTGTTTATATAATTTTAAGATTTAATTCAAATTTGAACAAACGTGTGCAATACATTTTAAAAATATTTATTTACATTTTATCTAGAGTGAATTTGAATTAATGCTACCTGCAAGAACAGTTATTAATTTGATAATTAGGAATGGGTGAAACTATAGTGATGTAAAAGCACATTGCTATAACATAATTTTCATGTAGTCATGAATGATTTTAAAATTTGAGTAAAATTTAATGTCGGTGGATAGAACGCCGTTAAGTGACCGCTTATTTTAACGTTTTAAATCGGTCCCAAAATGGTGTATTCTACTTTTTTGTAGTGATTAAATTTAAATTTAAACAAAATTAATTATATTATCAAAATTAACAAGCAGACTTATTTTACGTTTCAGAAAAATTTAATTGAATTTTTTTTAGAGAGTATAATGAGTAATTTGACAAAATCTCAAGTTTGAATATCATTAAAAAAAAAATGATTTAAAAAAATATTTGAAACATTCTAATTTGATTCACAAATATTAATATATAAACAAGTTTTTATTTTCTGTTCCTAATTTTTTGTCCTTATGCGGATATGCTGTAAAATCGGAGTTCAAAAAGTATTTTTGATTTGTTTGAAAATTGATTACCATTAGTTTTATTTCCAAAGCTTTAAGTAGTTAGTATTAGATTGATGAGAGTTTTGTGCTCAAGCAAGTTAAGGCTCAAACGGACCAGGTTATTACGAGAAGGGCATCTAAAAAAAGCCTAAAAAGCTCGCGAAATCATTTTGATTCTTTACGAGACCATTCATATATATGAATGGAGGCTGAAACGGAATCTTTATTATCTTCGATACAACAGGCTTGGTCTAGAGATTTCAGTTCAGTTTAGTTTGAAAGAGATTGTGAAGTTCTAATCAATATCATCAATAGCGTTACTGTAGATGTCTTTGTTGAAGGATTATGCCAAAACGTTTTTAATTGGAGAGCTAAATTTAGACATATCCGCGTTCTTGTAATGAAATAACACATATCATAGCGAGAAAAGTATGTATGCATTCCTTTTTTAAAAGGATGTGTTGAACCGCCGATTTGGTTATTTTGAACTCTTGTATTATGACCATTATTATTCAATCTAAATTAATTTCGCTGGAAAATAAAATGGATGATTTTGATTCTTCATTTCTAAATATAAAAGAAGTTGACCCCTTTTAGACCAAAAAAAAGAGAAAGAAGTTGGTTGAATCCCCGTAAAATAGGAGCAATGAAAATGAGAATTTGGAAACTACGTTTTTCTCTAAAAAAAATAGATAGGTAGGTTTGCTTTATTATTATGCATGATAGACCTTTGTAGCCGTACGTGTCAATCAAATATGGAGATGATACGTGAACAGGATATGGACATTAATCTACTGTTGTCTCTTTCGTTTTAGTGTTTTCAATAATGAGTGAAAAGTATAACCGTTTAGTAAATTTAATTATATATGTAGGATGATTCATGCACTACTACGTATTATTTTTTACTTCAATTTTCAATATTTAGAACATAGTGTATTTGTACGTGTCGAAATTCTAGTGTGCAACATATATATTTAAATGTGACTTTGTTAGCATAACTCATATAGGCAGTAGTGCATGAATCATCCTACATACAAAAAGAAGTAAACAAATAAAGATTTTGCTACGTGTAAAAAAAACATTATATATATGAAAAGTATATATTTTTAAATTGTTTCTGATATAATTTGTTTGTTTAAAGAAAAAATATGAATAAACATTAATTGTTTCCAAGAAACCAAGTAACCAACCATTGAAGTTGTTTAGTATTAGACTGATGAGAGGTTTTAATGCGTAGAACATTATTATTGTACGTCCTCTTTAGCCTTCCCGTTTTTGTGTGTGTCCCTCGGAGAAGCTGTAGGTGATCTTTTGTGAGGTTTGAGGGCTTGCCTAAGGAAGAGGTTGCTCGTGGCAACGATGATGAGAACTCGAGTTTTTAGGAGCTGAAGCAATCACACGAATGTCCGAGCTTCTCAGTTCGGAATTGGTGTTTTTTCTCGGTTCTCTACTCGATGGATTGTCGCTTTTTTATTTGTAGTTGTTCGTTTCTCTCGTTTGGTTTTCGGTCTTTCTGCTACTAGGAAAAATAACAAAACAAAAATGAGTAAAAGAAGTATATAGACCCATGAAAAATTAGTCTTCGCCGTCGCTAAATTATGGTAGTGAGGAAGTAGACACTGTTTCTCTACTTCCTTCTCCTAGTTTCAAATTCGTTTTGTATTCCAACCAATCAGAATCCTTTCTCTGTTAGTTGCGTGAAGTTTTCTTTTGCAAAACGTTGAAACAGTAAGGAGAAGGACATGACCTCATTAAAAGAAAGTGAATCGCATCTTAAATTACAGAAACTGCAGATTGAGAGTAATGGAGGAGGAAGAGAAACGGCCGAAGGTGAATCGAGAGTGGCGTATGTAATGCAAAGCAGTGTGATTGGTTTGCAAGAAAAAAAGGGAAAAAAAAAAAAGCTCTTGACACATGGCATTCTCTACCTTGTTGACGTGTCAGAAATCTAGAGAGATCCAGCCTTCTTTCATATATATGATTTGAGAAATCATTTTTATATGGGTTGCACGCTCTTACTAAGCGATTTTAGTAACTTCACCATGAATGCAATTTTATTATTTGGATATAATGATAAGAAGATGTAGTATAGTTCTTTCTATCGCTCCTGAAATAAAAGGATTCGTATATATTACAGCAACATGCTTACATTGTGACAATCAAACAACAACAAAAAAACTTTAAAATTCCAAAAAACCTTCTATATATCAAGCAAAAACACACAACAGTCAAGAATTTAAAATGCAATAACCAATTAAATCCTGGTATGTCATTTTATCTTCCACACATTGCTACATCATGTCACCAAAATCCCATTAAAAAACTAAAAGAAATATATTTTAAAAACACTAATCAACAAGCATTAATTGGGATATGTAAAAAATCTTACCCATCAGAAAGATCATGAGCAACATTTTAAGCTTAGATCATCCTTCAGAGTCCAGAGACCAAACCAAATTTGCACCAACACTGTCACCACAGAACAAGCCACCACCGCCACCAAAAGCCTCCCCATCCCAATATCTACGAATGTCTATACAACTAGCTAGGAGAGATAAATGACTAAAAACTGTCGGATGGAATTTGGCAAAGTGGGAATAAGAACGATGAATACATTTGTATCCTTTTTGATCAGCTAAACTGTGTAACCAAATTAGAAACAAAATAATGATAACTAATTGGTCTTGTTCACAGGACATTGCAAAAGAAAAGCAAAACCAAACTAATGAAAAGAAACGCAAGAAAAAAAATAAGCTATCAATTATATAAGTCTTCTTCTTTGTGCTCGTTAGTTCGCTTCCTCTTCATCTCTCTTTCCTTTTCGAATCCTGTAATTTGGTTGATTTGTGCTAAACTTGGAACATAAGAGCTACAACACACAAGTGGGCAACAATACTTGAAGTTGAGAGATCCTCCTTGATTCGCAGGAGCTTCTCCTAGACGCACTTTTTTAACGTACCCATTCTTTCCAATGATGTAAGCTGCGTCCTCGTAGCGGGTCATTTCAGATGCGTCAAAATGAATAACAACACCGACTTTCTCCTCCTCGTCAATGAAGAAACTGCCACCGTCATAGTGAAAATGAAAACCAAAACTACAATGTGGTTTCATATCAACTTTTAAAAAAGGATTCCACGACACTGCATTGGGCTCTGAAATAATGCCGCGAGTTTCTCGTCTCCACGAGAAGAGAGAGCTCCAGCATCGTAAAGATAGTGCTCAAACGGCAGAGGAAGAAACTGTCCAAAGCTCTCCGTCGTAAAATCAAAACAGAGTAAATAATCTGGCGGCTCTGGATACTCTCCATCCTCTTCGAATATTATTTTTTCCTTGGCAATAAAGTAAGTGTTTCCTTTCAAAGACGCACCACGTTGATAAGACTCTATTTCCCAACCGGGAGTGATATCAAGAACCCTCCATGAATTAGAGCTAAAATCGTATATTTCGTACTCGAGAAATTTGTGCTTAACTTTAGAGTCGTAAAAATCCACAAACCTCAAGATTTTGTGATTTCGGTTATTGTCGTATCCGATAGCATAGCTGTCTGTGGTAAGTGTTGTTGAATTCGATCCACCTGATTTGACCCAAATAAGGGTTCCATACCACGAGCCTAGTGTTGTCCTCTTTGGTCATGCATAACAATAACCCGTCGCATTGAAAAACTCTAGATATCTTGACTTGATTAAATAAATTACCTAACTCCTTTATAGATGGATACACGAATTCGTTAGCTCCTTCTTCGTTGAAGGTTCCATGAAGATTGAACAAAGCTTATACTTCTTCATCATGAACCCTAGAAACTGATGCCTTGCTTCTTCTGATTTACAGAGAATCAGATCTTTGGATAATGCGTTCCATCCT